AATATATATATATATATATATATATATAAAACGCTCGAAGCATATTTTATTTCAGCTCTTGGGAAAGAGATGCACTTCACGTACCACTGCTGATAATATAACCATAGATTATAAAGAAATCGAGCCGCCTGCCGAAATAGCATTTTGTAGTTTGCGTGAAGAAGAATCCGTTTGTTCGCTAATCGATCGATTTCCTCTTCAAAATGTTGAACAGTTAGCTGTAAATCCGAAAAAGATTGATGAGGTTACTGTTCTAGACGTATATACGAGGATTTTTGCGATCGGTTTTGCTTCTGCTGAATAATGCTGAAGATAATGAAATTTAGATACCTGATCAGATAAGCAGTGATGGTTAGATATCACACATTATCATACCAGCGTTTTTCAAGTTCATAATATTCTCCTCTCCAGTGAATATATTTGTTTGCTGGCCTCTTTTCAGCTGAGACGGTGGATGCAAAAGAAGAAAGGGCGTTGTCGCGGATGCAAGTTACTTCTGCTCACCGGACCCACCGGTAGTGGCAAAACAACAGCTGTGAAAATGTTATGTCGCGAATTGAAACTTGAATTAATCGAGTGGAACTGTTCCGAATCCTATGATGTATTTTATGATCCAGAAGGAGAGGAAGTTGTTTATGAGGAAAATCAGGTAATATTTTTTTTTAAAAAAATTATCGAACCTTCCATTGATCAATTTACCGGTTTCTTTTAATCGTTTCTATGACAAAGTACTGGTAATGCATGTGCAGGAAATGAAAAAATAGTCCAACAATTCATAATTATTTAAAAAATATATAATATAGTTCATAAAAAAATAATGTAAAAAATAATATAAAAATATAATATAAAAATATAATATAATTGCATAATATAATTCGTAATATATAGTCAATATAAAAAGAAATTTTTGGGACACTACACTGTAATTTTAGCATTTCGTTTGCTTGCCGTTTTAGATCATCATGATGCAGATGCTTAAAACATATTATTTGATAAGTTTGAAAGCAGTTTTGTTTTAATTATCCCAAAAATTTGTTTCTTACATAGAGTAGAAATTCTAAATAGAAATTTTCAAAATCTATATCTTTCGGATTTCTTAGCTATTTCCAAATTTTATCTGCACTCTTATGGCACTTCATTTTCTTCAGGTCAAGAAATTTGCCGAATTTTTGAAGTCATCGGATCGTGGATCAATTGAAAAATCAGTTTCACAGAAAGTTATACTTGTCGAACAACTTCCAAATGTTTTTTATCAGTAATAGTTTTGTTAAAAGGACGGACTAAACTATGGATCTTATTAGATTCCTTAGAGTGCTTTCTAGTTAGTTTATAACAAAGTGTTACTTTTTGTACTTATTCATATTTAGCCATAGTTGTTGTAGTTGCTTTTTCTAAATAACGTCCAAAATCAAATTTAAATTGATGTCAAATTAAAGAGGAATATGACTTTAAGTACAAGTATCTTTTTCTTCTCGATATAGAAGATTGACAAAGCATGATTCATCATTCTTAGTTGTGATATGGGCAGATGTATTTCATGTTCTTTTTTACTTGAAATTGCAGAAATCCGTCGATACTGCATGAAACAATGACGAACACTATCAGGAACACGGTTTGTATGTACATATTTATTATGAGTGATATTGATTCCTGCTGGTATCTAAATCCAAAACGTATTTTACCTGCAAATATTCGCTATCAGCTAGGCTTTGAAGAGCTAACTTTCAATGCTTCTGCAACCATTTTCTTATCGAAAGCACTACGAAGGATTACTTCGCTGCTGAAGGTTAACGCATCACCATTACAAATTAAAAGAATTGCCGATAATTCCAGTGGTTGGTCTTTAAGTATGGTTCATTATACTTGTCTTGATTAACAACAGATATCAGTCGATTTAACTTCGAAATATAATTACAGTACTACAAGATCGGAAGCTTGAGTATATTTTTCATTTGCAAGAATTCTTCCGTTTGATTTCTTTTGCATAATATCCATTTATAAAACTAAAATCTTTTATTGAAGGGTATTATTATTTATGATAGAAGCACTTCAAACTTTTATTACTTAGACTTAAATTTCGTTATTTCCTTATCTTACTGATAATTTCCACAATTCAATATACTCTCTCATCTTTATTTTTTCCTTTCGTTTAATTAAGCAGTAAATATGTTGCAAATAAACAACTTATGCATCTCCATATTTTGCTGCAGGTGACATAAGAACAGCAATTCACAATCTACAGTTATGTTTCGATGGCTACAGAGAATTTAATGAAATCTGTCCTCTTCACTCCTCAACATTAGTTGACCCCTATCATAGCTTGGGAAAGCTCCTTTATGCGAAAAGGTATGTTATAAAATTCTTTTTCACATAATATTTGGGTTGTTGCAATTTTCCTATGAAATATGGTAGCTAAGAAGGTCAGTAGATCTTGTTAGAAATATTAAGATTTCATTCCGCTAAGCGATTACAATCTCGCGAGCAAACTAGTGTGATCGTACTTGTGCTGCTATCTTTTCTCTAGCTGATTGGTTGTAAAGTACTATTAAAGTTTAACACATGAAGGTGCAACAAAGCTGACGGCGACTGGAAGAAAGCTGAAGAAAAGTTGAAAATTGAATTAAGAAAAGTTTACTCGAGAGATTATCCTCCCAAAGATGATATCAGTGAGGTGCTTGACAAAAGTGGTATGAACGCTGACAAGGTTATTGATTTATAATTTAAGAATATTTGAATCGTATTAACGTGTATTCTGTTTTAGTCTTCTTAAGTACTCTAAGAGCATCGGATTGTGAGAAATCAAGCGGCTGATTTCAATTCAATTTTTAAGTATTTTGTAGCTCGTGATATTCTTGCATGAACATGAGCCGAATTTTGCTCCATCTTTATCATCGTATTTGGGCATTCTTAATAATATAAGCCTTTTCGATTCAACGCTTAGCCGTTGGGAAGTTCGAATGGATTCTATTCTCAGCTCATATATGGGTGAAGTAAGTGTACTTCATTTATTAACTTTTAATTTTCAAGGTTTGTGTTTTTAAATGAAATTTCAACTAAATAAGGTTTCGAATTCGGAGAGAGTTTGCAGAAATCCATAAAACAGGGTGGTCTTTCTCTAATCAGAAATAATTTTTCCTAAATTCGTAGCTAGCCTGAGCTGTCAGCTGCTGATCTTCTATCTAAAATACTGCTGATGAAGCAGAACATGATAACAAGGAAAAAATCAAAAAAGATGATAATTCCACTGTTAACAAAATGACTAGTTTTATTTCAGGTGGCAGCTCGATCCACCATTTTTTATAATTTCGGGTGTAAGAGCAAACAAGGTGAGATTCCAGGTTAATTTGCGACTTAATTTTAATTCCTTTAATTTAATATTGTTTCATTTAAGAGTTGTTCAAAACCTAGGAAATTGCAAACTGTCACTACTCTGCCAATTATATTTTGTTAAGGTGAGCGGACTGAATCACTTTTCAATCTCCAGATTTTCGGAAAACTAAAATTTCTGGTTCTGTTATCGACGATATTTTGTTGCAGGTGGAGGAAGATATTGCTTTCATAAACCCCGTTATTCTGACGAAGCTTTTCAAGTATTCAGTAAAGAAAGAGAAATTCATATTGCTTTTCCTTCACATACTTATGGAGAAGTTTTAACTCTGTAAGAAATCTTTTCTATATTCTTAAAAAGCGGTTGCTCTCCAGGACTCTACATAAGGATTTACATGGTTTCAAATATTTCAACTTTATCAGAAATAATTTTTACGGGCTTTTATGAATTTCCGTCTCACACTATTATATTCAGAGATTTGGTGTCTGATAATTTGAAATAGCTAAAAATAAAAGTAGCTGAAATAGCTACTTTCAATGAAAAATAAGTTGCGTGAATAATGTGGTGGAGAATGAATTTTAAGTTCGCAATGAAAAAAGAGAACCGCGATTATTGTTGTGATTGCAGAACACTCCCACTAATTAGGCTTATCCGACCACCAACGCTGAATAATTATCAGTGTCAAGTACTTATGTCAATGAATTCTGCTCTATGTACCAATTTTATTATAAATCAGTTTGCAACAAACAGGAAGTTAAATAGAAGCTCTCCAGCAAATGAAGAAGAAAACCAATTTGAAATCGAAGAAATTGATCTTTCATGATTTTTGCATATCGTTGTTAGTCTGATTCTCTTCTTTTTGCTTTCATTACAGGATTCTTTTATCATCTTATTTCTTTACCACTCACCATCGCGAATATTTACAAACCTATTCATTTTTTATTGTTTACAGCTGCCTCTATGTCTCATATATGTTATTGTAAAATGCTAGAATCAAGAAATCAAAAGTTGGACAATAAAGGAGCATTTTCTCTTGATTAGGAATCATAAGGAAGTCACTGATGGTATTTAGACTCTCCGTGAGATAGTGAAGAGGCTGTCGAATAGACAATAGTCACTAGTTTCATCAGGTATTCGATCTCAATGTTACTTTGTATTCGCTTATTAAATTAACGCGTTTTATTCGTTTTAATCAGTTAAAGAACAAAGATGTGAATTGATAAGCTTCATGTTTCGATTTAACGATATTTTTTTTATTTTTTTCTTTTTTACATATTTCGTCCGTTTCACTGTATATTCCAACTTCATAAACTTTTTCTAGGTCTTTAGCATTCCAGCAAATTCATCTCCCATATATTAGCCAATATATTGGGATTTTTACGGAAGGCATTCGAAGGGGAAAGCTCCAATTTCAGCAGAGAGCAAAATAATTAAATGCATTGATCAAACTCATGATTTTCATGTACCATGCACTTCGTGAAATATTAGATCCAAGAAATCTTTGAAGTACCAACTCAAGAAAACGACTCGTAGCAAAACTTTTTTCTGTATTATTTTGATCTTTTTTTTTGCTCATTTATGAATTCGCATATGGGTTATTTTCTTTATAAGGGATCCATTCATCATAACTCATTTGTTGCTGTATGCAAATTCAACGTTAGGATGAAATGAATCTCCTACTGGAATATTAAGTTGCCAGACATAGCTTATTGTGATCATGAAATCACACTACTTCAACTAAAGGAGGAGGTCCTTTTTAAGAATTGAAGATTCGGTCCATCTGAAGCCTCTTTTGCTAGATTTATTGAACTCGAAGTAGCACAATTTCAAAAAAACAAAAAATCATTTCAACCATTCATTCATATATTTGTCTCATTGTTCAGGTGTTTCATTTATCCACGTATTTGTTATGTATCTGCTTCGAAATAACTGTGCTAATTGCGCAAATTACACATTATGACTACACAAATTGGTAACTGACTGATGCTTACGAAATAATATTCGTATCCTATCATGTTGTCGAAATAACCAGGAAGTTAATTAGTACTATCACAGATCATGTGTTGTTTACAAAGCTGTGTGTGGACAAGATCTAAATGGTATTAAAAAGCTATAATGCCAAGCTATACAACTATTATATATCTTCTAAGCCGTCGAACTAGATGGAATCAGCTTTGAGCAGTTGTATGATTCACAAATAAGCCCATTTTGTTTTCGGTCATTTCGTTTATTGTCCGTCTCTTTAAATGCATGTCTATTTGTTCAATTTAACAAGTATAGTGCAGTTGCCATAATAATAGCAGAAGAAATAGTATAGAGTCAAATATTAAGAATCAGTCAATCGGTTAATTAGATCACTCATTCATTCATTCAATAAAGAGCAAAATTGAATTGTAGAAGGGAAATGAAAGGAGGTGGAGACTTCTCGATTGGATCTTGTCGCACGATCGATCCTTTGCTCCATCAATATATTTGAGTTATAAAATCTACAGAACAAGCACCGCGACATTTTTACGTCCCAGCAAATCATAGTTCAACTGCATAGCACTGAACTTGATTTTATTTCCAGTCTGTTCTCCACCGCCACTACTTCTCCTTCTATCTTTCTTAATATTGTGCCCATTTCTGAAGCTCTCCTTATGTACCATTGCCAAGGATGCAATGAATTTCTTGAATTAATTACTATTGAGACAGTACTTTAGACTTCAAACTATTAACTCTTATTTGCAAGAAACTCACAAGAACTTACGGCATACACCATTAATAGTATTGCAAAAATGTCTTTCCCGCAGTCACGAGCCCAGTCTGAGGTCTTCTCAGCATCCCAGTATGACGGACCAATCATCAAACGACCGCGCATACAATTCAATTATTTCATCATTCCAATCTTCATATTATCAGTTGTTGGTTTGGCATGTTTATGGACATTATGGTATTACATGAGGTAGATTTTTACTATTTACCGCTTATATATAAACATAAAGGAATGTGCTTTCGTCACATACTGTATTAATATTTTTTATTATTTTTGAAAATAGGTCAGTGTAAGCATCTCCTAACACTTGCACATTTTCGCTAAATATGTTAGCTTAGTCGAAAAAAAAAAACTGTTTTACAGCAAAGGATTTAGCACTAGTTAATTTCGCTCTTACGAAAATTTCAGTTTCACGACAGTCTTTCCTTATCACCATCGAGTATTCCAGTGCCGTGACATCCTTTTGTATAGACCCAATTTTCATGCAGAGGATTTTAATCTTTATGTATCTTATGAACTCCTTCATGCACTTGGTTTCGTATTACCACCAGTTGTTGTACGTTTTATGTTTTTACCTTACCATTTATTTACTTTTCCTACCAGTGGCGCACTTGTTCACCGAACGAGTAACGTACATTTAGATGAACTACTTTTTTTTTCCTATTTCAGTTGAAAACAAAAAGTAACTATAAGTGAGATTCAGTTCGTTAACAATTGCAAAATTTCGAAATAAAAATTTCAATCAATTTTTCATTACAGTTAATCATTCCATTTCTTTATCATTTTAGATAGCTCTATTATTTTTAATGAATTGTGCCAAAATCAATTTGTTAACTTTTCTTTCATTGCTTCTGTTCTTTTCTTGCAAAGTTCTTACTTTATTATAGATGTTTATCGGTGAAATAATGTTTTGGCTATTCTCTACGAAACCGAGAAAGATAGTTTACGCTAGCTGTGGCGAATGTAAAATTCATTTATTAACTCGACGACTTGCACGATTTATTGGTCAGTTATCGGACACTATGGATTAGTAACATGACAACAGTTATACATCTTACCAACTCCAGCAGTTTTGTAGACAAGGATTATTACAAGTTGAATAAAGTTAAAAAAATCTTTCAATGAAATCCCATCACTCTAACTTTTACTAAACTAAAAAGTGAGAATTGCTAGTAAGTTACGGTGGAAGCACCGGTAACGTATTGCAAGAATTACATTTTTTCAAAATCAGTCATGAATTATTCCATTAAAAAAACAAAGAAACTAAAATTCGAAAATACTTCCAATTATAGATTTATTTCGCAGTTTCAAAAATGGTGTTTTGAAATTGAAACGTGTCGAAGAATCTTAATTTTGATTCTCAATGCTAATTCTTGTTATGAAAATTTGCAGACACTCGAAAAATTAACTTTTTCTCGAAACAATTTTGATTTACTTTAATATTGAAGTATAAAAGAAGGGTCGAGGTATGGAATTTTTTGATTACTTTGAATTGCAGGTGTGTTCATGTTCGGTGCACTTATAACACAAATATTTGTTTATACGATCAAATTTATGACTGGTTATCATCGACCATATTTTTGTCTCTTTGTAAACCAAACATAAGGTTCCCTCATTTTCCTCAGATAAAGGCTGCTCCCCTTCTTTTGTTTACTTTTGTGAAAGTTTGTGTTTAAGAGGGAATATCTAAAGTCCTTCAATGATGAAGTTTAGTGTATACATTCCATCATTCAACAGAGCGGCATTTCTGTAGTATAATCTTTAAGTGATTAATGCTATTAAAATGAAATCTATAATATTAAGATGAGCTTTTCAAGATCTGAATGAATTTGGAGCTAAAGATTCATTAGAAGAGAGAAGTAAATCGGATTTCTTAACTAAAGGAGAACCAGACTATAAACTTAAAGTTTGATGGCGGTTTTTTGCTTCCAAAGATTTTTTTTTCATTTGTGAAAAGAAGAAAAACTTCACATCTCAAACTTTCTAAGTTAGTCTTTTTTTTTTGAATAGACTGCTTTTGCGCCCAAGCAAACCTTGAAATAAGATATAAATATTGGAAAACTAAGAAAGGAACTGATGTCGAAAAGTCGTCAAAGCATAGAATTCTCTATTAGTCTTCTAACATTTGCGCTTCGAAATGTAGAATTATAGAGAATAAAATAAAGAAACAACAAAGTTGGATTGCAGAATGATTCAGTCGTCATACTGCGTACTCCAAATGCCTTAGCAATAACATTTTCGAAATGGTTTTTTTCTAACATATCAATCTTTAATAAATTTTCTAATGGAACAATTTTAACTTCGATGCGTCTTTCTTCCAATACAAAAACGCCAGATGACATTGCAGCGCATGTACAGGACCGCTCGATCAATCGCCATCACCATCTCCTTTTTTAGCCTGCTTATACCGGAATCCCAATGATTTGCGCTACGCCTCACTTTCGTTTCCATCACTCCATGCGGCATTTTCGTCCTTTTCATGCACATTTGCTTCAGTAAGTTCAGTAATTTGTTTCAGCACAAAAAAGAAACCTTAGCTGTTTGACACTGATTTATGATTAAACCAATCCCTGCATCAATCCTTTTATTTAAACCTCGTAACATAGTAGGGGTCTCATTGGAGTGCATAGTTATCTTCATATCCTATACAAGTTGAGCAATCGCTTACTTAGCTTAACACAGGAGCGGAAGTTGAACTTAACCATTTCCTCTTAGTTATCTTTATTAAGTGGAAAAAATGGTGAAGGATAAAGAATTGAACCGTCTATTTTTTCTCGTTTCTGTTAATTTTACAGTGTTACATCTACTACATGATCAATCTACGCAGTGCGCCTTTGCTGCGACCATTTCTGATATTTGGCCTCATGGGTCTTATATTGATTGATTCATTTTCGCGAATCAGTGGTTATAAGAACCACTGGAGAGACATTTGGGTCGGATGGTTGATCGGTTTTTTATCGCTCTTTTTCTGGTAGCTATCTGACTCTTTTCAGATAAACTTGAAAGTTATTTTTAAAAAATTTTAAAAAACTCCATTTACTAGGCTTTGTAGGCTTTGTGATCTTTGTAGTTAAGCTTTGTGCTCCTTGTAGTTAAGCTTTATAGTCCATTTTTCCATGTTACTGTCAAGTATTTCAGTGATTTTAATAGTAAAAATGCAATTTAATACTTCGTACAGTCAGTTTTATAAATCCTTTCTCAACACTTTTAATTTTATTTGATAAGGAAAAATGAAAATTAAGTTGAGTAATATATTAATTGCATTATTTTCAGTGTCACTCTGTCCTCTGTTTCCAAGAACACTATTATTACCCAGTAGAAAAACCGACGGAACTGGAGGAGCGCATGAGTCCATTCTTTCAGTGGTTCAGGTTACCACGTATACGAGCACCTTCTCTGAAGGAGGAATACACGTAAGTTGACATGACTTCTCATAAAAAACAACCCCAGAATCATATTTCGGAAACCAAATATTTAGTACGTTACTGATTTTCACGATGGAGATACGTTTAGTGATAGAGGAATATGACAAAAGTTCATCTTAATTTTTGATGTCTTCCAATGACAGGGTCTACGAGGAAGACATTCCACAACCAATTGTTCCAGCATCTACTGCAGCACGCCACCGTCGAAGCCAAGATCGTACCTACGAAGTTACAACAACAACTGAAAGCTTTCATCGTACCATTTCTCCACCACAGCAACAACAACAAAACGGTTACGGTGGCTATTGAATTTCTTGAAGTCCACTGAAAAATGTACACTTCTTTTATCGACATAAAATACTGCTCAGTTTTTGTGTATCAGAAAAGAAACTTTAAGAAGCCTTTCAATCAGAAATTTCATTAAACTTTTGAAGTAGTAACGCTAATTGAAATTGAACGCGACGAGACATTTTAAAATGCTTTAAGTTAATGGCAGATCAGTGATAGCCGCTCAAATAAAGTGAAAGCTAACCCAGCCAATGAATGGAATGATCTTATTACCACAGTCTTCCGACAAAGCATAGGAATGTATAAATCATCGAGATAGTAGTCTTAATGATAAAACTTATCATGGTCACCTGAAATAATCATAGGCTTGAAACTTCTTCGGTACTTCGTATCTCAGAGTAAGTGATGACAAGTCAACATCGATATTATTATTTTAAGATGAAATAAAGCACTTCGATCATCGCTATTAACTTCGATCATCGCTATTAAGGGCGTTATTGTATGATCTGTGTTTTTGTTCCTCCTTGACTCAGAAGAAAAGGGGAGTGGGAGACGGGACAATTCTCGACTGGACAAGAAAGTAACATAGTTTTGGTCATAAAAATTATTCCGAGTAAAAGTCAAAAAACGGTGGAAGATGGATATGCTCGAAGGACCTCAATTATGAACAATAAGAAGGTATTGATAATTTGCTACCTAAGTTTGTTGATTAATTGCAGTATTAGTCTAACTGAGGAAAAAACAGAAGTTCTGTCTATCGATCTCAAGGTCATCTCAGCTATGTCAGCGTTAGTTTCAGCCATCACCATGCTCCCAAAAGTGGTACCATAAAGCGACAATGCTGTAATTATTCAAAAGACATTGTCTCGATGCAATATCCTTCCAAATGAACTAAATGAGACTCAATTACATCTCAAGTAATAATAATAGACATATCAAACTGTTCACATAATAAACAGTAATAGGAGAACAAGAATATGGACGCAGAATTATGCACCTCGACAGTTCGGGATATTCCAGGATACGGTTATCTGAATAGAAACAGGACATCTCTACATGTAAACGTCAGAACAATTAGCGTTTATCACCTCCTGATAAAGTCAGGTATCTGCACAGTCATAATCGAAACTTCTCCTTTCCATAAAAAGATGAAAGTCAGTCAATTAATTAAATCACATGTATTATTGAAAAATAGATACTGTTAATTAGAAAGGAAAAAAAATTTTTGATTTCGAATCAAAAAATTTTCAATTCAAAAAAATCATTTCGCATCTCGTTGGGGAAATGTTATTCATTAATACGTCAATCACCTTAATATTAAAAAGATATCGCAAGCCAACTTCTTCAATATGGAACAGAAATCCAACCGTAATTATGAATTAGCGCCTTGAACGACTATCCTGTCTGATTCCACTTTGAATTGCGCTTTAGGTTATGCATTATTCGAATTGCTGCTTTCAATCTCTAATAAAACATGCCTTAACCTATAAATCTGTGACAAGTATAATTTGATGTGTGTCATGATTGTGATGATAATAGGTCTCATTCACGACATGATTTCCATCAAGAAAAAGGTCCATTTTTTTTTTTTTTAAAAACAACGACTTCTCGTAAATGTATCGGCTAAAATAGAAAAAACAAACCTATGAATAATTTGCTGAAAAAATTTGTGGCCTAAATGGAAGTAAAGCATTTCGAGTAAGACTACTATAGAACAAAAAAGGCCAAATGTAACGCAGGGATTGAGCAATGGAAGGATGTCGAATAAATCTCCCAGTTAGGTCCCGCGAAATGGAACCTGAATCCCTTCACCTTCACCGATGACAGAACCAAAATGACACCTTGTAGTATCTCCACGGCCACGAAATTCATCATAATTACCTAAAAACCAATTCTTCAACCATTGATTCCAACTAACATGGTGATGATTCATATAATTTTCTTCCTACTTATAACTTCATCGAGTTCTTCAGCACTTCTCATTCTTTAGCAAGCCGTACTTACTACCATCTCCAGAAATATACACTCATAAATTCGATTTCCTGGCAACTTTCGCTCTTAGAATTTTTTGAGTAGGAATCAAACAGTCCAGTCCTTTTCATCTCTTCTCCTTTATTTCTCTTTTCACTTTTCTTATGTTCATTTTAAGTAGCCGGTTAATGTAAATTCATAGATTTCTGTTTATATCGAGGAATGTTCGTCAGTTTTTTTACAATATTCAACTTTTGCCTCCAGGAAGGATGTATTCAGAAAAACAAAACCAATGTAAGTGTCATTTTTCTTATAGATCATGTCCAATTGACGCAAATTTTGAGCAGTTCTTTAACAGAATTTTGAGTGAAACCATTTTTAGACGAGGATAATGAACCACACAACTTTATAATGAACTGTCCAGACATTTTTAAAGCAGCTTATCCTTGTTTGCATATTACTTCATTTAGGACGGTGTCATTTAGTGCAAGAGGATTTGATATTACAGTAAACTGTGAACTTACTGCTAACTATTTGTTGATTCTGTGAAGAGAGAATGAATTCATTTTCACAGAAATGTTAGTACTTTATAGGTCATTAATGCTGTTTAAAACCCTTCGGCTGATGTCCACTTTTAAAAATTTAATACACATAATTCCTACAAACCGGTCAATTTTGATCCCAAAAGTTTTCGTCAAAATTTTCTTGTAGCTCAATAGT